GAGAGTCATCTTGTTTTTTAAACAAATTTTAATATTGTGAGTTTATGTACAAATAGAGTTTTATTTGGAATCATTCAATTCCTCTGGCTTATATGAGTGAATAATCTACCAGATGCTGTATACAATTCTACAAAATACTACAACATTTAAACGGGGTGAAAATCAGTTCGAGGAATCTACAAAAATAGCTGCTTATTATTCCTTATAGCAGGGGATATCTTACCTGCCAGGGATCTTAAAGGTCGCTCCATTTGTTGATGTACCAACAGCCACATGTCCCATCTGTGCAAGAAAAAGAAATTCATTTAAAACAAATGTGAATCTCTATATATATGCACCTGGACCACAATGAACCTGCAGTTCCATCAACTTACTTTATCAATAACAGCCATCGATATGGTGTCATGGTTATGAGGACCAACAAGAGATGTCCTGGATTCAATAATCCCCATTGCTTTGGCTTCAGAACAAACCCCCTTGTTAAGCCCCATGTTATCAATTGGCTGATAAGGGCCACAGCTATCAACAGGTAAAACATTTTTCCAAAAATTAGGTTGACAGTGGTTTTCTTTCCATCTTGTCCATTTCTCCATAGACTCTGGTGAACTGAGGTTGGTTGGTCCAGCAAGACCCATTGAAATGGCAAAGGCAGAAGCTCGATCTCCAACAAGCATTGTGTGTTTGGTATGTTGCATAACTAATCTTGCAGCTCTGATGCCGTCCTTCACATACCTCATAGCAGCAACAGCTCCAACCTCCATTGTGACCTAACGCATGTCCTTAGCAAACACAAAAGATTTAGTAGTTGTTTTCAATATGAGCAGAGAAATAAGGATCAAATTAATATTTAAGACAAAGTTGACACTGGCGTTTACCCCATTCATGAGCAAGGCATCAATTGTAGTTTCTCCATTCTCATCCGGACTTCCACCAGGGCCAACTATTACAATCAAATTCAAGTCATTCAGGGCATGGACATTCTATAGAAAACCACAAAAATGTAGAGATTCTTTTCTTTTTCTTTTTTAGTTTGACAACGTATTTTGGTAAATTACACTAAAGAGGTCATGGTATATATTGAGCTCTCTTTTGTTCTTTAAATCTTCTTGGTCTAATTTATAGCTTCAAGAATCTTCACAAGGAAAACATGAAACGAGCACAGATTTCACACTTTTGGGACAACTGGATACTGCTAAATGGGATTCATAGTCTGATTTCAATAAACAATTTTTTCTAGCATGATATGTTTAATTGATGGTAACAAAGTGGCTTTGTCTAGTTAATTAATAGATGCAATTCCTGCTT